GAGAAGTTCCTCAACACACTCCAAAAGCAGTATGAACAAATCTGTCTCCCATTTGCCCCTGGTGTTGTGCAAACTGCTTCTCCACGCAGGCAGCTGTCTCTTTAAGAGTAGGGACCCAGCTATCACTCTCCCTTCTCACTTGCCCACTGCTGATTCAGGAGACTTTTAAAGCTCCAGGCTCCAAGTCCCACTGGTTTTACAAACTCTTGGAATTCAACCCATCTGGTTATCAAAGCCAAACATTAGGGGGTTAGTCTTCCCCAGGATCCTGCCCTCTCCATGCATTCAGCTCCCTCCCTCCCATGGGCAGCCTCCCTCTGCCTTTTTGATCTTCCTAACTTTCAGATGAAGTTTCTTCTCTATATTTAGTTGTGGAGTTGGTTCTGCCCATCTTTGATCATTCTCCAGTTTATTGACCTGGATGTGGATGATACCTACCTAAATGTAGGATGGGATGAGCCCATGGTTTTCCTACTCTGCCATCTTCCCCAGTACTTTTCCTCTCTTTTTTTAAACTCACAAATTAGACACAGTTATTTTGTTTTATTCTTCATTGTTTAGGTTTACCGACATGCTTATCCCCCTTTCTTTTTTTTTTTTTATTTGTCATTGTATCTAGCATCTCAGACCTATAGGATGATTTTTCTTCTTAAACTGCATCCTTTAGACATACCTTTAGTACAGGTAAGTTTGCAGAAAACTTCACTTATAGTATATTTATTGGGGCGCCTGGGTGGCTCAGTCATTGAGCGTCTGCCTTCGGCTCAGGTCATGATCCCAGGGTCCTGGAATTGAGCCCCACATAGGGATTCTGGCTTAGCAGAGAGCCTGCTTCTCCCTCTGCCCCTCCCCCTGCTCATGCTCTCTCTCTGTATCTCTGTGTCTCAAATGAATAAATAAAATCTTTAAAAAAAGAAAAAAAACCCATCTTCCAAAATGGAGGCTCCTGACTCCATGAGAAGATTTTGGGAATCTTTGTGGATTTCCTGGCCTATCACAACTTCCTATGGGTGGTTCTATGGCTTGAAAACCCTCCTGTGGTTTGTATGTGTTTGGGAAAGCTCTCAAATTTAATAATGCAAAAATACTTGTGAAAAATCCCAGAATGATGTATTTGGTGCCTTCTAATTCTGCATGTGTGCAAGGATATTGACATTTTTCTCTTTAAACCACTTTTTATACAAGTAGCATGAGCAATGTAAGGAAGGTAGCTCATTGCTATTTCACAGAAGGTGCTAGTGACATGACTGACTTCTACTGGGGAAACATAAGTGTTAATAGTCAAGCCTGGCAAAAAAACATTTTCAGTTTATTTCACATGTTTTAATGTATAATTATAATTTTATATGTATATGCTATTAATGATTTTTTTCCTCACAGTTACCTACTTTTAAACAAACCTTTCATTTTACCTTTAATGATGTGTTTATATATACTTCTGGTAGGGTCACAAAGCTGTTTAAAACTATGAAAATTCCTTGCTACTTAGAAAATACCCTTTAACTGCATTTGGGGTAAGTATGGGGGCATAATATGCCAATTATAGATTACCTTTTTATGTGAATTCTAGAATTCACACTAATATCAGTAATATAGAAATATGTCTTAGAGTTAATATCCAAAGTGAGAGGCTTTCTTCCATATTTCATCTGTGGTTAATCAAGAATTTAATTATTATGCTGTGAGAGAAATTAGCAGCATTGTCAAAAGGAAAAAAAATCCAGATGAGATATGGAAAGAAGATGATAATTGATGGACTAGACAACTACTTCTAAAAAGAAGCTAGAAGTGTGTAAATTATCAGAAGTAAGCTTGGTACCAGTTAAATTGTGGTATTTGAGAAAATATGTGGGGCAAAGGAGTCTGAAAAGTGGTTTGGAAAAAATAACACACAGGTTGTTACAAAATTTTGAAAGGTTTGACATGAGAGTTTAACAAATGACTTACATTTTACATCAAGTATTTAGAATGTGTCACTCCAGATGCATTGTCGTCAAGTGACTAAGAGCTTGAAGTCGTTTAAAGAAGCAGGTAATACCTGTGGAAAGGGGAAAGATTTTGAGAGAGAATCAAGTTGAAACATTAAGGCAAAATGGACTGGAAATTTAAATATATAAATATGTAGAAAACTAAGACTTATAAAAAAATCCCATAGGACTTCTTAAATAAAAAGACTGCTGATTTTGCAAAAAAGAGACCACCCTCCTCCCCCCAAAAAAAATCCAAAACAAAAACCAGTTTCTAGTTCTGTTAGATGCCAAGAGAGGACACAATGGGGATTGTGAATTCAATGAAGTTGCAAGAGAGTAACTGGAAAAAATCAGAGAATATTTTAGTAACAAAAATCCTCAAGAATGTTTGTCTGAGACTGTATTACATAGCAGCCTTCACATTTGACACCCTTCATCATGGAGAACATGCCAATTTGGTTAGTCTGGCCAAGAAGGAAGCAGTTAAAAAATATTAAGTTGGCAAGCATAAATAGTAGTATCACATACAGACTGTGTGTTCCAAGCCAAGCACATTGTTTTGTGCTAAAGTATGGAATATATTGGTTAAAGTTAATTTTTGTAGTCAATTAGTATTTTTGTAGCCATGAATACATGTCTTGGGATATCTTGAGGGCAACATTTAAAATATATAAGTCCTGCTTCATGTTTTATTATCACCTACATGTTGCACATAACTTTTTTAAAGTACAGTATTATTCCTGAGGATGATTGTTTACTTTGGGAAAATGAAAACATCACCAGGGAATTCTAAAAGTAACAAGTAGTTGAGAGATGTTACAAACTAATTCTCAAGGTTATTGTGGCATTCTAACATAATTATAGAAGAAAAGTTAATCGTGGATCTTAAAAAAATGAATGGCATAAAATACAAATTAACATATACAAGTTAGATTGTATCTGAGAGAGCAGTATGAGACAGAATGAATTTAACTTTAAAAGAGAGAGTTATCATTTGTTTAAAATATTTAAAAACAATCATTCTTATGTCCTAATACTATTTTTGCAGTACAAACACAACTGTCTTCCACATTTCATCTCTATATTTATCCTTTATGTATTTTGAGATTTTATATAAGAGACTTCTTTTGCTTCAGTTGTCAAATAGTGGTTAAACACAAATTTGAAACTTAAAAAGCAAAACTAAAATAAGCATTTTCCTTGTGGTATCATGAGCATACCATGTAACAATAACCAATATGTTTGCTATTCCTGACTTATTATAGAGTCTGAGGGGGAAGACAAAATCAACAACCCAAAATCCATTAACCTTTTCCTCATTTATCAAGAGTACCTTAAATTCCTCTTATCTGAGACCATTTTTTTCAAAAGCTATTTTGTGCAAAATAACTGTCATGGCGGGTTATAAAGTAGATATGCAATTCATCAATGCCTCTAGGTATCAGCTTAACCTTTGGATCACACTGAATGGCCAGAGAGGGAATGACCAGTTATTCTGAGGTCTTGTAGAATTATCTTCCTGAGTTGTTCTTTTTACTGTTGACCGATATTGAAAGATTGTAAAAACAAAAACAAACAAACAAAAAACACATTAAACACTCTGGTGTAATTGTTGAATAGATGCTGCTGCAGTTGACCATCATTTTATACTAGGCTTCTTTTGGAAGATCATGGAAGAAATTTTCACAAGAAGTTTGCTTCTCTTATAGACATTATGAATGTTAGAACTACTGTGTTTTCTTCGTTACTTTTTGTATTAGTTTGCCTGGTCTGCCATAATAAAATACCACAGACTGGGTAGCTTGTAGAACAGAAATTAATTTTTTCATAGTTCTGGAGGTTGGAAGTCTAAGATCAAGATGGTGGCAGAGTTGGTTTATCCTGAGTCCTCTCTCCTTGGTTCATAGATGGCTGCTTCTTGGTTGTCCTCACATAGCCCTTTCTCTGTGCACACATATCCCTGGCATCTCTTCCTCTCCTTATAAGGCCACAAGTTCTATTGGATTAGGACTTCACCCTTATGACCTCATTTAACCTCAAGACCTTATTTCCAAATGTAGTCACATTGGGGATTAGGGCTTCAATATGTGAATTTTGGAGGGACATAATTCCGTCCATAACATTTTGATAGCTAGGGATTTGAGAGCCAAATCTGTGTGACACATCAAGTAATACCGGAAAATATTTGACATTATTTTTCTATCCATATTTTACCTTTAACCTGATTTTCTTATTTTCCTTTTTCATATGTACTGTATTTTCTGTAAGCTGTCTTGAATCTCTTTTTATAAGACAGAGGACACATAAGTAAATAAATAAATTCTCAACTGTAATAGATTTGTATGGATGTTTGCTCACTGGAATGATCAGTAGGAATTGTATTCCTGGGTGCCAAAAGGTGCTGGAGGGGATTCAATGGTCATACTCCTCTGAGTATTGCCAAACAGGAAAGTACTTAGGCTATAAAGCAAACCAAAAGTTTATTTGGGGTCTTTAGGAATTCCAACCCAGGAGACACAGATTCAGGAGGAAACTAAAATATGCTCCAAGGAGGGAGGACAAAGACAGAGCATATAAAGGCAAAACTGCAGGCTTATATAAGTTGTTTTGCAAGAACTCTGACTGGTGTCGCTAAAAATAATTAATGTTGGTCTATTTAGGATAGGTTACTATACCAGGTGCTAAGCTGGAGTTCAGTGATGTGAGCCTCATTCTGAGAACTGCAACAGAATGTAGCAATTTGTGGTTGGCACAGTCTATAAGTTCATGTTCCCCATCCAGGTGTGGTCGTGCATTTCCCCGGTGGTCTCCTGCCTCCTGACATCTTAGGGCCCTTGACATTCCTGACTCCATTTTGGATATTTCTGTTCATGGTATACTTACCAATTTACATCAGTGTTTAGGTTTGTAATATATATTAGAATGGAATCGTTCTTTCTCCCTTTGATAATAGAACATTAATGAAATTAAAATTTACACACAATGAAGTTGTTTTCCTACTTAAGTCAATTCTTCTTTCTCTTATTCTAGAAAACCTTAATGAAGAAAGAGCAACAGCCTATCAAACCAAAGCCAAGACCAAAGCCAGGACTCAGGTATATCTTTTCTTTTTTTCCCAGGTGTATCTTTATATGATAGCAGAAAAGTATAAATTAATGTGCTTGTTTTGGGTTTTATCTTGACTTAAGTATCTAGGTGTAAAGAAGTGCATGTTGTTGAAAGCTCAAGTTTTTAGCATAATATTTTCAGTGTTTCCATTTAATCCAGCTAAGGCAAGGAGAAAAAAAAATCCTTTTTCTTTTTTGAATATATTAATGATCATTCAGTAGACCAGGCTGGAGCTTACTATGTAGTAGCTGGGAAAAGCAGTGTGACAGTATTGTATACAATGCTTCAGCTGTTTTTTGTATTAGAAACAGGATACTACAGTTCACTATGCTAAAAGCATACCTTTCAATGAATCTGTGAGTGATTCTTTAGATTGCCTTGCTACTATATGTAGCAAATGTGTTGACAAACTTTTGTGAAAAACTATTGATTTTGTGAGATAGATCAGACAGTGAGGTGGAAAGAAGAGACTGTGGAAAGGTAACAGTGAAGTTTCTTAGAAGGACAGGTTTCACACTTGTGTTTTCTTATTCACTGGTAATACATTCATTTATCAATCCACCAAATATAGTTTAGTACTGATAGTTTATTCATTTAATAATTAACATCAAGCACCTGCTATTTTAGGTTTTAAGGACAGAGTGAACACAATAGACTCATTACATCTGTGGAACTTAAAGCCTAGGCAGATTGCTGCTCACTATGGAAGGAGACAAGAGTTGGAGTTTAAGTCCTACCAAGTGATTGGGATTTAGTGAACACCTCAGTCTTTACATGGAAGTCTTAGAAGGCCAACACCTAAGAGTGGAGACTATTCGCAGGAGTAAGGAATTCACCTTAGTACTGAGGACAAAACAAATTGATTTGCCCAAACAAAAACATAAAACCAAGCCTTGACAATTTGAAGATGATAAACCAGTAATTCAGCCACCACCTAGAATTAAAAAAACTCAACATTTTTTTAAGGACAATAACAGAACCCAGAATCTCTACAATGTACAATGTTATATATACAATAAATAAAATACTAGACATGAAGAAACAGGAAAATATGGCTTACATCAAAGAAAAAGTTATCCCAGATGTTGGAATTAACAGGCAAGAGCTTTAAAGCAGCTATTATAAATGTTCAAGGACCTAAAGGAAAAGAAATTCATAATAACAGAGAATGCCAGTGTAGGAATAGAAACTATAAAAAATAATCAAATAAAAATTCTGGAACTGAGAAATACAGTATCTGTTATGAAAATGTCATTGGATGTGTTGAACAGCATATTGGGAAGGACAGTAGAAAAGGTCAATAAACTTGTAGATCTATAGAGACTTGTCTGAGGCAAAGTAAACCATAATTAGAATAAAAATGAACAAACCCTGACTGACCTATAATTTAATATCAAGTGGACTACCATATATGAATTGGAATCTTAAAAGGATAAGAGAAATAAAAAGAGGCAGGAAAAAATAGTTGAAGAAATCATAGCTGAATTTTTCCTAAATTTAATGGAAAACATCTTTACATATCCAAGATCATCACATCTAAGCAAGATAGATCCAAGAAAAACCCCATGTAGGCACAGCACAGTCAGAGTTGAGAATCAAAGGCAAAGAAAAAACTTTTGAAATAACCGGGGAGGTGAGGGGGTGGTGGTGGTGGTGGTGGTGGAATACACATTATTCAGAGGGTTACAATTCTCAGAATGATGGATGTCTTCTCATCAGAAATGATGGAGGACAGAAGGCAATACAATTATATATTTAAAGTACTAAAAGAAAAAATATTATCAGCTGATAATTCTGCATCTAATGAAACTATCTCACAGCATTGAGGATGAAAAAAACAATTTTCAGTTAAAGAAATTAGAATTTATTGCCAGCTGATCTGCACTTCATAAATGTTTAAAGGAAGTTCCTCATGCTGAAAGGAAATGACACCTGTTAAGAATTTGAATCTACAAGAAGAAATAAAGAGACTGAAAATAGAAAATATATATTGATCAATATAAAAGAATATATTTTTTTAAAAAAATTTCTTTAAAACTGACCATTTAGGGCAAAATTATAACATTATTATTTTACTTATAAGTTAGGTAGATGCAAATATGTGTGACAATAATAGCAAAAGAAATAGAGTTATTCTCTTGCAAGTTTCTTTCATTTTATGTGTAGCAGTATTAATTCTAAGTAGAGTGTGATAAGTTAAGAATGCATATTACAATTCCCTGAGCAACCACTAATACAAAAAGGCAAACCTAAAAGTTAGTATGGAAACTAAAATGGAATACAAAAACTGTTCAGTTAACCCAAAAGAAGACAGGAAAGTGGAACATATTGAGTGAATAAACAGCAAATAGAAAATGGTAGACTTAAACCCAACTGTAGCAACATTTATATTAAATATACAGAATAAACAGTATACTTAAACATAAAAGCTCGTCAGGCTGGATTAAAAAGCAAGACCCAACTCTCTGCTCTCCATAAAAGATGAATGTAAAAACATTAATTGGAAGTAAAAGAATAGTCAAAGATAAGCAATGGAAAAAAGCTAGCAGAAGAGTGCTAAAGTGGCTATATTAACATCAAAGTAGACTTTGAGGACTATTTCCAGAGACAAAGAGGACAGATACTTCGTAATTGTAAAAGGGTCAATTCATTAAAATTAGATAATAATCCTAAACGTGTATGCCTTAGTAATAGAGATTCAACATAAATAAAGCAAAAATTGACAGGATTAAAGAGTAAAATGGATGACAACTCCGTAATTATGGCTGGAAAATTTTCCCATGCCTCTTTTAATAATAGGAAAATTAGTAAAAAGAATAAATAGTGGTATCTCAGATTTGAACAAGCCACCAACTAATTTGACCTAGTTGACATTTATAGAAGACTACAGTCAACAACCTTAGAATATTCTTTTCAGTGCCCATATAACATTCATTATAGAGATAAGAAAGCAATGAAATAAACAACAGAGAAACAATATAGCAAGTTAACAAAGCAAAAAATTGGTTCTTTGAAAAGATTAATAAACTTTGTAAGGTTATAACAAAACTGATTAAGAAAAAGAGATAAAACACAAATTCTGATATTAAAAATGAAAGAGATGTGAATAACTTCATGCCTACTATGAAGGCAACAACTAAGATGAAGTGGACAAATTCTTTGAAAAAAGATAACATACCATACTGACACAAGAATAAATAGAAAATTTGGGTAATCCATATCTATTAAAGAAATTGAATTTGTTATCAAAAACTGTTCCACAAAAAGACTTGCTTTAAAGAAAAGAAGGCTGTTTTTTATAACTACTTAATGGTGTTAAAAACAGTTGAACTTCTTATATAAGTCTTTTTCCTGTAAATATTCTTTACCTGGTTAGTTTGACTGGGGTGTCTTTTTTCCTCATAGGTGTCACTAAGTTAAAATCTAGTCCAGCTCTTTCAATGATTAAAAAATTGTACAGTCTGAAAGATGAGTGTTTATTATAGTTATTTTACTGAAGCCAGCCAGCTAATCTGAATGCTAAACATTTTCCTGTACGGTCTACCATCTGTTGCAGGCATAAAGAGCTATGGCAGAGTTTTGCAGGGTTATCTAGCTAATTTTTGCAGGGATATCTTAAACATTTTAGGGAATGATGGCTGAAGGAGTTTAGAGGTCTTTGTTTCAATCCTTTTAATTTCTGGTTGAGAAAACTGAGATTCAGAAAGATTAAGTGACTTCTTCAAGGTCACAAAAGTAAAAACAAAACAAAACAAAACAAAAAACAGAACTGGTAACTGGGATCCAACTCTTAAGTCTCAGTATTCTTACCAGTCATGCTGCTTTATGTCATTTGTATATTAAATGTTAACATCCTTTCTGATGATTACTTAAGAGAAGTAGACTGAAACCTTACTTCATGAGTTAGCAAATCTTACAGTGGCTGCAGTGATTAAAAAGTATCACTGGAACAGAATCTCAGGGAGAGGGAAACTGTGAAAATAAAGCAAAGTGGTGAGCAATATAAAACTGTAAATACATCACATACAGACATTTCATTGCAAATATCTAAGTGAAACAGTGTTAATATTTTCTTGTTTATTTGAAATCTTGCACCATTTATATCATAAAAATTCCATGAAACTTTAAAATCCAAATGTTTGGGACCCTATAAGCTTGGCCTAAAGGATCTTTCTTGTTAGGAATTTCCCATATATTTTCAGCTAGAGGTTTCCTTAGAGTCTGTATGAGGCAGAGTGTATTATAACCTTCCATCAGTCATCAGTCAACTTCAATAAGGTACTGGCCAATTTCTAAAGTACTTTTGCATTTCAAGGGTAAAAATATGTCACACATATATTGCCACTGCCAGGCTACAGTAAATACAAGAGATTTGTTTTTTCCCTTTCTCTTCTTAGTTACAGAAAAAAAGAAAAAAATGATGGAATTCATTCACACATACCCACAAGCTTTGCAGGAACCCTCTACATTTGGCATATAGGACTGGTTTATGCACCTACTCAGCAGTATTTTTTAAGGAGACACTCCCTTGTCTGTTAAAGGGTGGGGCAAGGAAGTTAAGGTAACTAAAAATGCTGCTGCTGAACTGGATTTGGAGTCATGGTAAATTTGTGCATCCATTCCTATTCTCGGGAGGGAATGAAACCTGTTGCCTCACATAGATAAATGATAAGGTTGATAAAGCAGAATCATGATCATTTCTGTCCTAATCTTCAATGATCATAAGCCTAAAAGACAAGTTTTCAGATTTCTATTTTTTTTTGGTCTTATCTCCCTGGTTTTTCAACTGTGAAGATCTCAAAATTTAGAAGGAGAAGAAAAGATGGCATGGTAGTACTTAGGTACATTTGCCTATACAAATGTGTGTACAGGTGTACTAAGACTTTTAATTAGCCTTATTACTAAACAAGGAGCTGTAATCCTCAAATCCAGTATATTTAGGTTGAATTTAGTAGGTTGTAGACTACAAAAAGTGGCTACTTGCTTT